ATCCCTCCTGTTCCCAGTTGCCAAGTTGCTAGTTCTCCTTTAATGTCATATTAGACATTGGGCTTCCACTTCCCCAAGGAGAGACATCTGAATCATATGCAATTCTGGTGAGATGCATAGGTAGAGCACTTATAAAGATCTCTTCTGAAATCTGTATTTTAAAATTCTGATGTTTTATCACTATCAGCACACTTTGAAAAGATGGCAATGATTATTGCTATACAGACTTTGAATTTTTAGCATTCTGGTTCTGGAAGAATATTTAGAAAGGCTCTCAGCTGCTCTTGTTACCAACACAGCAGTTATGAATGTTATTTAAGAAACAGTGAATATGAGCTGATATGTTCCTTAGTAAGAAAATAGGAAACATAAACCTTTAATTATGACTAAAAGGCCTGTATCTACACCTAGAAAAAACCTCAGATCTGCACTCTCTTTTCTTCCAAATGTGTTATATGAACAATAATATAAAAGACTCCCACCAAAACCAACCAGATCCCATTATTAGGATCCTACAAGCTCAGGATACTTTCTGGGTATGAGTTTAAGGATGCGTGTTAGTTCCTGTTCCATTCAAAGATAATCTGCTACATAAATAGCTTAATATGACATGGGTCATCTGTTTTAATTATTATTGTTACATCCTTTATTCCCTGAGTTTGTATGGTGGCAATTCCTGAGTCTTACTGTGACGAATACCTCTTGTAACTTTGAAGAATCCCAGGATACTATGCTTTGAATAGTTCATAAGAGTTAAGTTTTGAAATAGTGACTTTTTGAGACTGCTTCACATTTTTAATAACTCCAAAGCTTTCATTAAAAAGAATTATAAAATCCAATATTTTTGTAAGAACGGTGTACTGACATACAGACTTGGAAAATATCTTGCACTTGGCATGCAATAAATCTGCTTTTTCAGGTTTGTTGACCATATTAAACCTTTCCCACTGTAGAAGGGAAAATAATAATTGAATTTGGTCTTACTACAACAGAGGCATTAATTCATTGATTATTTGAAATCAGTTAGAGATATACACTTGACAGAATGTTCATTGTATTTCCTTCACTTTCATTTCCTCCATTTCAAAAGCCATGTTTTCCTTTCTTTTCCACAACATGGTAAGGAATAGGGAGCAAGGAATACAACGGAGGTTTTAATACAGACTACAGCCTGGAAAACATGGAAGTAGGGGTGGGGTTTTTTACAATATTGTCTTTTTCATTCTATGAATGAAGCGAAGAAAGAACTGGTACCGTTTTTGGAGAATGTAAGAGGGAAAACATGAATTTCTTCCAATGATTAGGCATATTAATGGACCTTGTTTTCTGCCAACAGATAACTTGAGTCTTTAGTGCCTGTTAAAGATTTGTCTATCTATTCTGAAACTACAAAGAAAGTTGCTTTTAATTCAATACATATATTTGAAAATGAAATTTAGGAAAAGTTTTCCTAAGTGTCCTCATTTTGATAGGTTTTCCACCTGGTGCAGTACTAGCAAAACATGAAGCAAACTTTATATGCAAAGATTAAATATTCAGTCCAAATACTAACATTAAGTGTTGATTTTCTTCCAATTTTAATGCAGCCGGAAGCTGACAATGAAGTCCAAACTAAGCTCTTATGTTACTGGTGTAATAAAAATGATAATTTTCTTTGCAGCAACAATTAATGATAGATACAATATTATTTTCTGAAATCAAAAATTTGAGCCAATTTGGCTCAGGAATATTTGTACCAACTTTATGATTACAATGAGTCTGCAAGCCTGTAAATGGAGGAGCAGAGTTTCAACAAAATTCACATTTTATTCTGAAAGAAAATTACATCTCATGGTGTAAATACTCTGAACTGATAGAGCAGGTGATCTTCTCCTTGAGATAAATAACCATGGCCACTCAATAACAACCAAAGATAAGAAGGAGAAAGCAATACTGCAACCACATTACAGAAAGACACTTGATGATAATGTATTTTTGCAGGCATAAAACAAGTCTTTAACAGTAGAGAGTTATCATTATAAATAGATAGATACGGCTTCAATTCTAGCTTTGCTATACTCCTGGCTGCAGTACAAACCTGTTGTAAGATGCATTTTGACAACTTTAATTTTTGTTTTAGTTATATATGCTTTTTCTTCATTTCTTTTCTTAAAATCCAGGGTACTGATGCCAATAAAAAGAGATGGATTCACAGGCAGCTATGAGAATGTGAATGGTTTTCAAAGCAGTAGACAGAAAAGGGGGGGAGGATTTTACAAATAAAGATAATATGAGTTGGAATATAATCCCTATATAACAAAAAAAATCTGGTACAGGTAAAAGAGTAAGAAGTTGCAACTGAATCTCTTCAGAGCCACAAAAGTGTGTATGTAAAAGTTCAGAAAAGTTTTCAATGGAGTTGTACACCTTTACTTTCTTCTCATAATGTTTATTCCTCCCCAAATTTCAAGTTTCTGAAAGAAAAAAAAAAATCTTGGATAATGTAGACAGAAAATTGACAAAGCCTGTATTGTAATTACCTTTTCCAGACTGATTTCATAGGCCTCACAAAAAATAAGCATTTTCAGTCAGATCAGAATGTTTACTCTGCCCAAACTGTCCCTCTGAGAAGATTTTGTCGCAGATTCTGCTACCACAGATTCCCTCTCCCTCTTTTATAGAAAAAGGAAATTGAAGGAAAATTGAAAGTTCACAAAGGTAGACTGATAGGGAAGATAGGAAAACTACCTAATCCTAAACATGAAATGTTTTTATCATTGCACTCTTTGCTACAGTTTTGCCATATAGAAACTGCGATTTAAAGAAGGGAGAAGTTAATTGTACAGAACAGAACGGTATATTGCAAAATGTCATATATTTGCATCTTGTAAGGGATTGATTGGGTGGAATAAATGTTGAAACTGAAAGTCAGCTAAGTGCTTAGTCTTTCCCATTGTTCCCTGCTGCTCCTTATTGTTAATTCTTGTTCAATATTTGTGTTTGAATAAAGTGCTTTTTTTCACAATCTAAAATTTCTAGTTTCTATTAGTACTTAAATTTATGTCCAAAATGTCATCTACTATTCTGTACTGCAGACATGAACTACACACAAAACAGGCCATCTTCATCATAGCAGCCCTGGGTTGTATAAAATTTTTAATAAAATTACTCTTATTTTCAATAAAAAATAATCACATATTCAAACAAATACCATGTAAAGACAGCTGCTTCCCCGCTGAATGGTCTCCAGCAGCAACATAGGCACTAAAAGGGCTGGATTGGTGTTGGACGGATCTCAGTAGCAGCTGTGCGGTGAAAAGAGAATGACCCATAGGTAATGCGGCTTTCTGGGAAGAACCGAAGGAGCGCAGAAAATGCTCTCCTTGCTCCAGCTTTCTCCCTCTTCGGCTGCATGGTGCAGATTCTCTAACAAATAGGCATCTGTTGAAGGTATCTTCAAGGGAGATTGTTACAAGGGCAGCATTCCGCTTTCTGCTTGTGGGAAGGAAACCCTGCATGATGAGTGCCTTTCTGCACATAAATCAGTCCAACACTCCCAGCACTTTTGTGCTGAATGACCATAAAGATGAACAACAACATGAAAAATGTGTTCTAGTCAATGCAAATCTGAAGAAATTCCGCATATATCAAAGGAACTATTTCATTTATTTCAGTTTAATTTAAACATTGGCAATACTACAATCTTATCTTTTGCAATATGTCTTTGTAAATTAGTATGCTTATTAATAAAAATTGAGCATATGACTTTGATGGAGAATGATGTTTTTATACTACACACTTTTTTGTTATTGGTTTCTCTGGGTTATTAATTATGATATCCAGATGTAAAGAGTAGGGAACCTCCCAAATCAGGTGTGAGTACATCTTCATTTTGCATCAGAATAGTAATCTGAAGATGGCATTTTTGCACAATGTTTGTTAACCCCAAAACCATAACAATGCATAGTTCTTTACTACATCTTAAAACAAAGACGCTGAAAGCAATCATGATCAGGCTGAGCAGTGAAGCTATAAAGCCACTGCTCTGTATTTACAAAGTGTTCAACCCATGTGACAATGTAACTGCCACCAGCAGTGATGAGCAAAAGCAAAATCTTATGCTTGTATTAAAAAATCTAATATTTGTAAGAATAATGTTTAAGAGTTCTCATCAATACTTTTAGAAAGTTTAGTGCTTACATTACTGCTTGAAATTAAACTTTTTTTCTAATAAAACTCTAATTAAAAGATATGTGTACAGAAAACGGTAAGTATGGCAGGCATTTTGTTTATTGTAATAAACATGTTAGCAAAGCGTCACTGTCATAGTTTGAAAGTAAAGCAAAATCACATACATTCCTTTGGCATTTGTAATAAACACTGGGAGAAAAGAAGTAGCATTTCTGTATTTTGTAATGCTGCAACACCCAGCATACATCGCTGGTCAGTCCAGAAATATCTCCTGCACTAGCTGTAAGAAATTTTTTCTGTCTGTGTACTGATCTCCCTTTGTTTGTGTGACTGTGTTATGAATGTCTCTTGTGCATAGAGGTATGCACAAGCAAAACCTGAAGGCTGAATTACTTGTGTTTCGGTATCAATGAAAAAATCTACAAGTAATGCCTTGATGTCTTTGACAACCTACCTTATTGATTTCCTTAAAACCAATGCTACACATAGTATGAAGTTACCTAAGTAAATAAAATATTGGATAAAATTACAAAGGAAAGTAAGTTTGCTTTTTGGCTCACCTATAGCACTGTACTGCCTTTGACATTTTGATCGTTACTAGTACCTCTCAAAGCAGCTGCAAAGTACATGGAGAAAATTAAAAAAATACAGAAAATTATTTACAGTCACTACAGACCTGAATTATTTTCAATGTGGTGATTGACTGCTGACAATTTCTGCACTCTCCTGAGTTATCCAGAAATAAATCAACTAAACACTCCAGTTTTGTCTTTTCTTCCTTTTTTTTTTTTTTTTTAACAATTATTTAAGAAACAATACCAAATAACGTGTTACAGTAAGCATAGAGGCACTTCTGTATTGGAGACACTGGTGTTCAGATACTGATCATTCGGTAGTTTATTCCAGTTCATAAAAGTGGGACTAACAGGGAGTTTCCTCCACAGATTTTTTCCCCCATATACCCTCCGACAAAACTGAAAGCTGACATTTGTATGGAGGTTGGCATCTTTGAAGTAGTATATCTGGGGGAGAATGATCCCTGTGACCCGAGTGGTAAATGGAGTCAGGGCAAAAGTCCAGTCTGACTTCCAAAGGCTGTTCCTGTGATTTGAAGGCTGATACTGACGAGCCTCAATGCAGGCCAAAACCAGCTGCCTCTTCCCCAGGCTTTTTTTGAACATGCAGTTATTCCCTAGAGGGAAGTGGCAGCTGATGGAGGCCTTCAAGCCCTTGTGGAGGGCCCTCGCCATAGTTCCCCCTCATTTAGCATTGCACCGTGCAGTTGGGATTTGCTGGCTGCCCTGCTCAAGTGGTCAAACACAAAAGAGAATTTGTCCTGAGGGTCAAAGAAACGGTTTGCCCCTAAGTTGTTGTAGTGGGTCAGTAGCACGGTGTGCCTGTTTATTTGGATGGGAGTGAATTTGTTCTTGTTGTGACAGGCCCCAACATGGGGCAGCCTCCTGCCTCACCACCTTGTCGTCTTGGACCATAGCAGAGCAACCTGGCCGAGCTCCCCAGGAGGACAGTGGTGCAGTAGCCTACAAATGAGGGACACCTTCTCCGGCTCATGCAGCTCCTGCCTCACGCCCATGCTGGGAATGAGGGCTATCCGAAGGGCAGGAGACTGCAGAAGAGGGGAGGGCACTTGGGCCACTTTGTGCTGGAGGGAAAAGGCACAAGATGGCAGTTCGGGGGCGGGGGGGGGAAGGCGTGCAGGGAGTGGTGGTGGGAAGGTGGGAAGGGACCTGTCCTGTGCCGAGGGCCCGCGGCCCGTGACGTCACAGTGTTACTGGGGCAACACTGGTCAGGGAGCCAAGGTTGGTGGCTGTGCTGAGAGGGTGCAGAGGTGCTAGTGTAGCGAAAGAGCCCTGCTGGGAACAGGAGCAAGCCAAGGTGGTGTCCTGCCAAACGCTGCCAACACCACAGCAGTGAAGACACCGGAGCAGGCAAAGCGGAGCAGCCATGGAAGAGAACAGATATCCTCCTCCTGCTCTACCTCCTCCTCATTTTTGTGCTCCACCTCCTCCTCCTCTCCTCTCCCTGCTCTTTGACAACTCCCCCTGTATACTTCTTTTCCCTCAGGCCTGGGTCCGGCCTGGGCACACATGGACCCCCCAGCTGGGTGGCAGGGGAGGGCCTGGGGCAGCCAATTCAGTCTGGTTTGGCCTGGTCCAGCTGGGGCCGATTGAGGCCGGCTGGGTGGGTCCAATGCTGGGTGCACTCACCTCGTTGATGCTTGTTGTTGGCACTCCTCTTCCTGTCATTTCCCACAGCTGCTGAATCCTCTTGGCCTCTCCACATTTACCTCCTCTCACTGGGCCCTTTTTTTCACCCTGATCACCCCTTGTTTTCCTTCCCACCCTCCCCATCTTTTTCTGTGGCCCTTTTTGTCACCTTTGCCCTAAGAGTCTCTGGGCATGGAGCAAAAATGTCTTCCTACGTGCCTCAGAGCCTGCTGCACTCAGAAATCAGGACAAGGATGTTCTAGAGTGTGAGAAAAGCAAAGGGCTAGCTTTTTAGGTTTAAAAAAATTAAAATTCTCTCCCTTCTCCTACAAGGCAATGACATGGGCCAGAAGTTTCCTTAACCTGATCTCTCATACATGGTTTTTGTCCACCATTCAGAATGAGTTCAGGACTGGGAAGATTGATTTAGACAGCACAATGAAGCTGCTTGAAAAACTGCAAATGCCTTTTGATTTCATACATGTAAAACACGTTTTCAAGGTGAGGAATATGTAGATTAAGCAATTAAATACGTTTAGAAGTCCAGTTACAAAAGTGTCTTATATTTCATGACTTTTTAAAATTAATTTTTTGAGCAGTTAATTTCACTCTAATCTGGTGTGCAAAATCAGCAAATAATTTGCTTCATCCAGGTCTTTTGCTTCTGTGTAAAGTAGATAACTGAATGGTTGCATTAGAATCGTAGGATCATTTAGGTTGGAAAAGACCTATAAGATCATCAAGTCTAACCATTAACATAACACTGCCAAGTCCACGACTAAACCATGTCCCCAAGTGCCACATCTATATGTCTTTTAAATACTTCCAGGGATGGTGACTCAACCCTTTCCCTGGGCAGCCTGTTCCAGTGCTTGATAACCCTTTTGGTGATGAAATTTTTCCTAATATCCAATCTAAACTTCCCCTGGCACAACTTGAGGCCATTTCCTCTTGTCCTATTCCTTGTTACTTGGGAGAAGAGACTGACACCCAAGTAACACCATCTCGTCATCACACCAAAATAGTGTAGGTTGATGGAAAATATGTAGGTCTTGCTTCCCTACTTTTGTGTAACACGGCCTCACTTGAGAAAAATGAAAACACCCTCATTTCATCCCATCCAGCTGCTTCTGTGATCAAGCTAATGAGCCCAGACATGCCTGTCTGGTGCTGGGCAGAGCCATTAGAGTGACTACTTAAATATCCTTTTGCCAGGAGGACCATATGGAGTTGTCTGATCTGCTTAGGCTTCAGGTCAACATAGGCTTTGGGTCAACATAGCAAACTTGTTCATTTGATTTTCCCCTGTATCTTTCCTCTGAAGTATTTAAAAGTTATACCTGAACAGATGGGAATTGCCCTCTAACCCCTGGGAAAGGATGTGTCCTTGAGACATGGCAACATTTAAGAGATTTCTATGAAGGTTGCATGATACTGCTGGAAATTTCACTTACTAATATTTTAATTTAGTGTAGGTAAGCAGACTACCATCAAGTGGATGCAGCCCCAGTGAGCAAATACTGCAAAACTGAGCGCCTTTGGACATACTGGGTTTTTACATTCATCAAGTCCCCTCTACTAATTACTCAAAAGATGTATGATTTTTTTTTTTTTCTCTTAGCAGCTCGTTTTTTTACCGAAAATAGCTGTTTGGTAAAGCTGTTTTCCTAACGGAATGAAGCCAAGTGGTTAGATGCGTATGTGATTTCTTTGAGAATTTTGTAACCAGCTGGCTGATTCTGTACAGATTTGACAGAAGAGAATTAACTACAGCAAGTCAGAAACTTTTAGGTCATGTCATGCTGACAGGCAGGCAGTGGGAAGACATTAAGATTTCCACACTCTATCTGGTTCCTCTCTGATTGTTCTCTGCCTCGTTGAGACAAGGTAAAACCAGCAGTGTGAACTCAACCCTTGCTAAAGAGGCTGCCTGTGGTTTTTGAACTTCCACTGCATTGAGACAATTGCCAACCTTGAGAATCTCATGAGAACTTTAAACTATTTCTCATTGTTTCCTTTATGTTCCACCTACTTTGCTGACAGAAATTTGAGAGAGATGATCGATTGTGGGTAGAGAAGAGAGTAATTATTTGAGGAAGTGGCTTGCATAAAACAAGTCTGCTCTAGTTATATTTAACAATATAATATACTCAACAGTCTGATCTAGTTATTTGCAGCAGTACTGTTACATATTCTTTGCTATTTGAGAGAGATTTCAGTATATTCAGTAGTTTTGGGGCTTAAATTGTTGATCAGTTTAATAATATGTAGGAATGCAAAGCAGTCTGGAAGGAAATCTTCCTGGCGTCATTGTCAGCAACTATACCTCAATAGTTAATAGAATGATTATACATGACAAAAACAATTTTATAGAAAATGTAGTTTCTAAAGAATAATCTGCTTTTTTCTAGTCTATTCTTTTTTAATTTATTTTACTGTAATGCTCCTTTGAGCAATATCAGAATTATGAACATTAAGATTTTAAAGGAATATTACATTTTCATATATATTCCTCTCAAGAATGTCTTTGTCAAGATACTTCTTTTTCTGAATAGCAAATATTTTGTGTGCATTAATAAAAATAAGAACAATAAAAATCTACTAACAAATTTTTTAACATTTTTTTTGATATGGACCTGATTTTCATAACTTTAATTTGAAAAGCTCTCCCCAAGTATTGTCTATATTTCATCAAGAGGCAACTGAGACAGAAAATTTAATTTTTTGCCCAGCTTCACTTTGTGCCAATACCTGAGTGAACATCTCCCAAGTCCTGATAGATTGTTTAATTCCAAAATAAGTTGGTATTTTCTTTTACTATTTAAGTCGATTTGCTGTAGATTTTCTTAAAGAAGTTAAAAATCAGATTATCAACCTTAGATGTGTTATTTCTCGTAATGAAATGTGTATTATTAGCATTTGTATTGAATTATTTTCATGCTGGTGATTTTTGTTAAAAACGACCATTTCAATTTCCTCTTGCAAGCTCAAAGCAAATGTTTAAGTACTGATTTGTATAATTTTTTTCTAGAGTTCCTCATGAAATCTACTTTTTTGGTTATTTAATGTGTTCTTATGTTTATTGTACTTATTCAGGCCTCTCTTAGTAGGAATTGTACTGCATAGGAAGACGCTAGTAATGTTATCATTAAGCTTTTAGTTTTTATGGTAATTCTTCAAAACTAATCTAATTTAGTAGTAATCAAAAGCTTTCATGGAAGAGACTAGAGCTCAAGTAAGCCATTTCATGTTTGTGGACACTTTTGGGGAAGCTCTACTAACCATTGTAGATGCTGTGTTATCAGATGCTGAAATTGAGCCTCTTTGGTAGTCTCAGTTTAAGGAGCCAACAATTATGAATTTTGATCTGTTTACAGTGATAATCAATGAGGCAATGAATTGCCATACATTTATGATTTTTGCAATTTTGTCAGTAAATTTCCAAAGTTTCTCATTATTTTGGAACTTTTAAGAATAACACAAGCTAAAATGTTAGAAACATCTATATTTCATATGAAAAATTACATATTTTGTGTAGAAGATTTTAAAGGATACATAAAATTATTAAGCCTGAGAAAAAAGTAAATGGCAGAAATGGTAAAAAAAAGGTGTTATTCAACTCAAATTCTTTTGCCCTTTTGATTTTTCTGTTGGCTTTCATACTGAAAAACAGAAATTAATTAATGTACTAACATTTTGTAAGCTCTAGGAAAACAAGCTTACAGTTTAAGAATTCTGAAAGTGTGAATAATTAATCTGACTTAAACATTCTGGCTTGTTAAGAATAGAACACAATGTCATAGGTTATTATAAAGTATCTCATCTTCAGACTTTAATAGTGTTTCTTATTTGACGTATTGAAAGACTTGACTCATGATAATTTAGTGATCCTTATTTAATTTTTTAGATTACTGTGTGTTGTATATTGTATGCAAATTTAACTGACAGTATTTACAGTATGTTTTAAATTGCTGTTGGAGACCATATTTAATAGAATATTTAATATATTATATTATTTTCCACTTGATAGTTTTTATGCTGCAGACATATTTTACTGCATAACATTTTAGAGGTTTTATATAATGAGTTTTAACATTGCATACACATTATATAGAAATTTATTGTGATTACTTAGATGATAATAATGTCATATGGTACATTTTAATTTGTATAAAATATTTTAAACACACAAAGTCAAATCTAAAAGTTGCATATAAAAGCAGAAGGATAGAATTTGGTTATGCATTGCAGTCACTGTTGCCTGAGGTTTTCTCTATTGTTCTCGCTCTTATGATCAGTTATAATAGAGTGTTTTCTGTATATCTTTGTGTCATTGCATATCTTTTTATTGACTGGGGTTTCTTGT